TCTGGAGCAGGAGCCCGGAGGCCAGAGTGGGATTCTCAGCTCTCACTGTGGGCCGCCCCCTCTGGGGGAGGTCTGGAAGCACAGCCAGCGTGGCTTTGTGACGCCCGCTTACAACATCAGTTCATTCCCCTGGTCTGGGCGTCACAGAGTGTATTTGCACCCAGGTGGCTGCAATGTCATATGGGACCATTGTCACACCGAAGTCCATCCTAGACCTCAAGGGTGTGAGCAGCTCTGGACTTTAAGAACTGGCAGGGGGTGGGGCCAAAGCAGGGTGGTCTCTGACTTTTTTAGCGGGGGGAAGGTACTGGGGATCGAACTCGGGGGCACTGAACCACGGAGCCCCACCCCCAGCCCTGTTTTGTATTTTATTTAGAGACAGGGTCTCGCTGAGTTGCTGAGCGCCTCCCCGTGGCTGAGGCTGGCTTTGAACCTGAGATCCTCCTGCCTCAGCCTCCAGAGCTGCTGCGCCACTGCGCCAGGCTCAGTGAATGGGGACACTTTGGGTTTTGTCATAACTGGGCAGGTTCCCGTGGTGGAGACCAGGGATGCTGGCTGCCAAACGTCCTGCCATGACCAGGAATTATCTGGCCCCAAATATCAATGGAGCCGAGGTTGAGAAACTGACGCCACTGTCGACAGTGGTTTAAGAAGCCATTTGGACAGAGAAGGAGACATTTTGGTTCCAGGTGAGCTTCTGGATGAAAAGAAGGGGACCGCATTCGGCTTGGAGGGCCCAGTACGTGAAGTCAGAACAGACCGAAGTCAGAACAGGTTGTAACCTGACCTCTTCGCCCGTCTCCTGGCTCTGTGACCTTGGGCATGTTCCTCACCCTCTCTGAGCCTGGAACAATTATCTGTAAATGAGGATAATTTTCATGTGCAGCATTGCCCGAGAGATAAAAAGCCTGTGAGAGAACCTCGTGAATGCTAAGTGCTCAACAAATTGGAATGAAAATCAAAAGTGGAGTGCATCTCAGCAGGGAGATACTTCCCCAAGAGTGCACCCCAGAAAACGCCCCCCAAAACCCTCCTGGGACTCACAGTGAGTGGGGAACCTGAGCCAGGAAAAAACCAAGACCTGGGTCTTTGCATCCTTCCGTGACGTCTGGGCTGCACGGGCATCTCTGGGCGCCGGCCTTCACGGTTCTCGTTCGATTAACACGCGGGGCACATCCTGGCTGGGAGAAGCGCGGAGTCTAATTAAGCCCCTCGCCCCCCCCCCTCATGACTGTGCTGCATCTGCCTCCACCTGCCCTGCTGATTTGACTGCAGCAGACCCACCTCTTTTTTTTTTTTTTTTTTTTTTTGCACATAAGTCAATGTTCTTTTAAAAAGCAATTTTGCATCATGGCCGTAAGTGGGCATCTTACCGTCCCTTACTCTGAGGAGACAGCAGCCGTGCGCACAAATGAACAGCAGTGGTCAGGGACAGCCCGGCTCTCCTGTGGCCCGCCAGAGAGGCCAGGCCGGGTGCAGAGGTCTCCGGGAGTTCGGGAAGCAGGCGTGTTTGCATCCGCCTGAGACTTCACAGGATGCAGGAGTTGAAGGAGAGCGGAGAAGGGACCCATCCATCCAGTGCTGCTGCATGTCCCCTCCGGGCACCACGTGACTCTTGGAGGTGCTGTGGCTTTGCACTGAAGATCAGGAGCTGTGAAGTCCTCCAGGGCAGGTCACCGGGCTGCCACCCCCCACGCCCACAGCTTACAAGGCTCAGTGTGACCTGACTCTCATCACGGCTGAGCCCCGTCCCCCAACCCCACGATAGCCCCCCCCCTCGTCCTTGCCGCCTGGCTTGCAGGTGACCGCATGGGAGGCAAAGCCACCTGCTAAAATGAATGGCTGGCGGGTCCAGGATACCGACCCAAAGGCTGAGCGGTGAGGAGCGGCTGTGATGGGAAGCGCAGCACAGGACCCGAAATTTTAATTTTGTGTGAGTGCAAACAGTGACGCTGTGATCCAGCAAAGCCACGCCTGGGTGTCTTCTCCAAAGACTCGAAATCAGGGACTCGAATAGGCGTTTGCACACCCAGGCTGCTAGCACACTGTTCCCAAGGGACCGACGCCGGGAGCCACCAAGTGCGTTTGAAAACCAAACAGATGGGCAGGCCGCGGGCTGTCCACCCTGGGAGCGTCACTCAGCGTTGGACAGGAAGGGGCTTCTGACACGGGCCACACTGTGGATCAGCCTTGGGGACATGAGACGCAGTGAATAAGGCAGCAGGTTCCTCTCCAAGAGATCCCTAGGGCGCTCAAGTCCTGGGAAGGGAGATGGCGATGGCGGGGTCTTAGGGAGGGAGACGCGGGGGCTGGGGTACAGTCTCGGTTTTGCAAGATGAAGAATGTCTTCAGATCCCTGGTGCCGGTCGCCCGACGCGGAAATGTGCTCCGTGCACTGAAAATGGTCAAGATGGTGAAATCTACCTGAGAGAGCTCTTAGCACAATTTAAAGTTAATGGGGGCGGTGTGGCAGGGAAGGAGGGAGGGGAGCGGCTTCCCTGGGGGAGGGCGTTTCTCCTGAGACCCTCACAGCTTGGGCTTTGGGTCCCCTCTAGACTCGGGACCCCGCCGGCCGCCCCCCCTCTCGCTGGCTCCGTTCCCGTTCCCGGGGCTGGAGGGGACTCGGCTGCAGGAGGTGATGGGCAGTGGTGTGCAGGGCGGCCGTCGCTGGCTCCTCTGCAGAGGGCACAGGTCCTCAGGGCACCCCAAAGCCTCCAGGGCAGGGGCCCAGCCCCCAGCAGGTTGGCGGGTGCAGAGGAGCAGCCACGCGCTGCGCCGCACTCACCCGAGCCTTGCGCAGGGGCCTCCAGGGTCCACCCGTGGCCGGAGCTGTCTGCTCGAATCCGTCCATCAGAAATCACTCAGCCGGCAGCCCCCGGAGCCGGGCTCTGCGCCAGGCCTGGGGACAGAGTCCTGCAGGAGAGAAGAGCGCGGCCCTGCCCAGAGGGAGCCAGGGGTCAGCTACCAGCAAAGCCCCGAGTCCCTCCGCGAGGCGCTGCCGACCCCTCCATCAGGTTAGACCCCCAGACGGTCCTGAAATTTCCAGAACTCTCTCGAAACGTCGTCCCCCTCGTCGGGTGAACTAAACCGGGCAGAGCCGAGCGTTGGTCCCCTGCTGGCCCTCACTCTAGGGACTGCCTTCTTGTCACTCAGCACCCGTAGTCCTGGAGACCTTCCCGGGAGGGCGGCACCTGCCTCTGGACCTTGGGATGACTAAATGACAGTCACCTGGGACAGGCCAGTGCTTCATCTGCATCCCCATGGCTGCTGGTCTGTGGCTCTGCAGGACCCAGGAGGTGACTTGCCAGGGGCCCCAGGATTTAAAGCCACGGTGGCTCTTCGTCACGCGGGCTCTGAGCACACCCTGCGCCTGTGAGAACGGGGGGCTGCCTTCCAGGCACCTCAGTTTAGTCCCCCAAAACCTGCACTGAAATTTCCCAGGGGAGCCCAGGGCAGTGGTGCATGCCCATCATCCCAGAGGCTCGGGAGGCTGAGGCAGGAGGATCGTGAGTTCAAAGCCAGCCTCAGCAACAGCGAGGCCCTAAGCAACTCAGGGAGACCCTGTCCCTAAATAAAATTCAAAATAGGGCTGGGGATGGGGCTCAGTGGTCAAGAGCCCCTGAGTTCAATCCCTGGTATCCCTCCCCCCCCAAAAAAAGAAAGAGATTTCCCAGGGAAAAAAGCCATCCCAGCCAGCAGCGCCCAGAGCCCCCGGAAGCCTCCTCCTCAGGGTGGCCCACCTCTTCCTACCTGCAAGGTTCCTGCTGCCAGGTGGAACTGTCCCCATCCAGGATCATGAGTACCCCCCCAGGGCCCCAGGGGTCGGGGACAGACGGTTCATCCCCCTGGGGAGGTGAAAATGGACCATCGTGGGGGGGGGTCTCCCCAAGGCCCCTCCCCAAGCTGTGCACCCTGTGCCCAGGGCCCCCACCGTCTTCAGCTGCTGATGCACACAACCTCGTTCCTGCTCCTCTCCACCCCCAGACCCACCGCCCCTCTTGTTGGAAGCAAATCAGAAAGCTCCCCTGGCAGCCGCGGAAGGAGCGCTTGGGAGTATAACCCGAGTCCAGGGCTGGGCTGGGGTCAGTGTCCGGTCAAGGTCTCCTTCGCACTGACCACTGCTGCTGGCCAGGGACACTCGCTGCGGAGAGAAATTCAGCGGTGGGTGTTCACCTGCGAGCAGCTGGTGACAGCGTGGGCGACAGAGCTGGGTCTGTGGGAGAGATCACACCCTGGTCACCCTGGTCACCCTGGTCACCCTGGTGGGCAGCCCAAGAGAAAGGAGTTGACGATAGGATCACTTACTGGGCATGCAGTCTGTGCCGGGCGCTGCGCTCAGTCCTGACGTTAAAGTCCACGTGAGGCAGGTTCTGTGGTCACGTGGACCCGTTTTACAGATGAGAAGGCTAAGGCTTGGAGACACGGCTGGACCAGGCTGAGCTCACGTGACTGGCCTGGCCAGAGACCAGGCTGCCCTTGCTCTTCCTCCTAGATGCCATCCTGCATCCCAGTGCCAGTGGAGTGACCCCCTTATCCTCAGGGCATCGGTCCCCACACACCCCGGGGTGCCGGAAACCACAGATGTCACAGGACCCTGTATATGTGCCGTGCATCCCTCCTTGTCCAGGGACCTGCCGTGGACGGTCAAGACCATCATATAAAATGGCCTGGTGTTTGCACAGAATGGACGCACACCTTCCCGCAGACTTTAGATCATCTCCTCATTATTCACAACCGCGAATACAACGAAAGCTCTATGTCCGTGGCTCTTACACTCCATAGTTTAGGGAATGACAGGAAAAGGTCTGTACGTGTTCAGCAGAGAACCAACCTTTTTTTTTGGTGTGTGAACCGGGGCTGCTTTACCACGGAGCTACATCCCCAGGTTTTGCGTTGTTGATGTTATTTTTTTATTTCGAGACAGGATCTCACTAAGTTGTTGAGGCTGTCCTCGAACTTGCAGTCCTCCTGCCTCAGCCTCCACAGTTGCCGCCGCACCCAGCACGGACGCAATTTAAAAAGAAAGATGTTTTCAATCCACAGTTGGTTGAATCCGCACTGCAGAAGCCACAGATTCGGAGGGAAGCTCGGTGTGTCCTTCTCCACCTACCAACCTACGTCTGGTAGCATTTAATTTATAAACCAGGCCCAGGAAGAGACCAACAACCACAGCGGATAATAAAGATATTACAGAGGTTGTAATAGCGTATTGCAGCAAGATGTATATCATATGTTTATTTCTGGAACTTTCCATCTATTATTCTGGGTGACGACAACCTCAGAAAGCGGTGCTGCAGATGAGGGGGAGGGTGATCCACGCCTGGCCCCCCGACCTTGGCAAAGCACCTCCACCTCCACCATCTCTTTGGAGCCCGAGGATCACGTGGTCCCTACTTAATGCACCACGCCACCGAGAACCAGAGTCCGGCCCGGGGCTGAGCGTGGCGGGGCTGGTCACCGGGGAGCGCGCCGCGGCTCCGGTCCGCAGCCTTCCCACCTGCGCCGCCAAAATGCATTTGATATTCCCCCCATAAACCTGGCTTTTTAACATTCGCCTGAAGTCAGCATCTCGCTGCCTGTGACCGTCCTGATTTTCCCACTTATTTTCTGGCTTTTTTTTTTTTTTAAGCCACCGGGATCTGATTCCACTGTCAAGTTCACGGCTCTTTTCTAGGAGCGGGCGATGCTTGGGTTCCGTCCTTCAGAGCGCCCCGTGTCTGAAGACCCCGCAGCTCTGACTCGAGGGCCTGGCTACCTACCATCATCCGCCCTGCAGCTGGGGTCAGTCCCAGGGGCAGATTTTCCTGTTGATAGGATGGGGACAGTTGGGTGGAGCGCAGGGACCGTGACAGGGTTCCAGGACCCCAGAGTCCCTGCAGCCTGTGCTCAGCCACTTTCTGGGGACGGGCCTGAGCCTCACAGTAGGGAGGGGGGTCCTGGCCCCCTCCCGTGGGGTCTGGATGTGCGTGAACCACGCAGCCGGTGCTCAGCCCACGCAGCAGAACTCTGGGGTCTCTGGTCCCCGTTTTCTTTGCAACTGTCTGCGACGAGGACCACTTTTTTTTTATTCTTTTGTAGCTGTAGAGGCACAGAATGCCTTTATTTTATTTGTTTATGTTTATGTGGCCCCGAGGATGGAACCCAGGGCCTCGCATGCCAGGCGGGCGCTCTGCCACTGAGCCCCAGCCCCAGCCCCAGCCCCGTCGATGGCTTTATTTAAGCAGAAGCAGCTGTTGCGTTGCTAGGGTCGTCTTTGGTTGCCCAGTGCCCCCTCCTCTGCCCCAGAAGGAAAGCATCCGTGTGTCTGTCTGTCTGGCTGTGAATCTGCTCTCTAACTGATGCAGCAAGCCGTGAAGGGCTCTTCCCCACACCAGTGTCCAGGTGCAGAGCCCCCACGCCTGCCCTGACTCTGCTTGGACAGAGGGCGGGTGGAAACCCAGGGAGGCTGGGACCGGGTGACACCGGGCTTCTGCTCCCACCTCTGTCCTCACCGTGCGGCCGGGGAAACAGGTCACCCTCTCCAAGCCTTGAAGGACAATAGCGCACTCTTCCCAGTGCCCAATAATGATAGACGCTCAAACCATGATCGCCCCCACCATAGCGGGGGTACACGCCAAACCCTCCGAAATCACCAGCTCCGGGCTGGGGACGTAGCTCTGTGGGCAGAGGGCTTGCCTCACTTGCACAAGGCCCTGGGTTCAATCCCCAGCACCATAAAAAAGAGGGGGAAAAAATCAGCTCATCTGGACCAGAGAAGCCACCGTTTTTCAAAATGCATTCATTCATTCATTCACTCATTCATTCAGCAACGTGGCAAGAGCCATCAGGGCCTGGAAGGCAGGGAAGGGTCTATCTCCCAAGCCTTGACTGGGTGACAGTGGGTGACAGGTGGTAGGTGTCTCGTTGGAGGGGTAGTTGGATGGTGCTGTGTTTGGATGGCTAGGTGGTTGGATCAGAGGGATGGGTGTGTGGGTGGACGGATGGATGGACAGATAGATGACTGGGTGGACAGAAGGATGGAAGGATGGATGAGTGGATGAATGTTTGGATGGACAGACGGATGAACGGGTAGATGGAGGGTAGATAGATGCATGGGCGGGTGGATGGAAGGACGGACGGGTGGATGGAAGGACGGACGGGTGGATAGCTGAAAATGTAGCTTCAGTGGTCACCTCACCTTGTCAGCATCCCATCACATAGAAAAAGTCCCCTCCGGTACCGGTGACAGTCCTGGGATGCATGCCTGCTCCCCACAGTAACTAACTCAGGAGGCGTTTCAGGACCAAGCATCGCGGTCAGGAACCTTCCCTCCGAGCTCTGGGTTGGACCACGTCCTGTGTCAGGGGTTCGGGGAGTGGCCTTTGGAGTGAGACCTGGATTGGAATCTCGGCTTAACGAATTGAAGCAGGGCGACCTGCAGCAAACCCTTGGCCTCTCTCCGCTGTGGTTTCCTCGCTTGAGAAAAGGGGGTTAACGGCACCACCGTGCAAGGTCACCGTGCAAGGTCACCGTGAGGACATGGTGTTGGGGGCAGGTCAATGCTCCATGAAAGGTGCTGGGGTTTTACTGAGCCAGGATGTGCTCTGTGCCTTCTTTTTTTGGACAAGAACCAGCTGTGTGCTAGGTATCGTGCGAGTGTTGCATAGTTAATGGTCAACAGGTCTGAGTTAGTCCCCGGTCTCTCAGAGATTTTGCTCCGGTGCTGTGTTCAGACAAAGAAGCAGATAAGCATCTTCAGATGGCGCTAAGGGCTAGGAGGAAAATGGAAGCAGGAGAGGCGAACAGCGTAAGGCACGGAGGCGGGAGTCCTCTTGGTGGGCTGTAAGCCAAAGTCAGGAAGGTGCAGCCAGGCAGAGATCTGGGGACAGGGACTTCTAGGCAGCAAGAAGGGCCGTGAAAAGGTCCTGAGGCAGAATGAGCCTTCCCAAGGAAAGGCGGGTAGACGAGGTGGCCAGGTGGGAAGTGGGACTGGTCAGGGCAGAGAGGTCCGAGGAGGGATGTCAGCCAGGCCTCCCGGGCAGCCGGATCTGGACGTTATCCACGTTAATGTCATCCTGTGGTCGGGAACATGGAAGGATTCCTGTTCATTTAGTGGTCATTCAGTTTTCCAACGGCAGCTGACGGGCTCTGGAGTTCCTGACCTCCGGCTCCACAGTCCATGTTCTTTGCATTCCTAGTTGGTCTTCTGGGACAACCCGTGTCGGTTTTCTTCCGGCAAGTTCTCTCCATGTCGGGACAGAAAGGCTCTTGGGCTCTTGCAGTTTGCTGGGCCACAGATAGCCACCCTCCCCGATCTCACATTCCAGCCTGAGGGTGGCGGGCTCTGGTTGAGCGCTGTCCTGGTTGGCCCTCGTGTCCCGCTGAACCGGGCTCTGGCCTGGGGGAAGCCGCGTTGTGATGGGCTGGTCCTGCCTGGTGTTTGGTGGCTCCTCTGCATCCACCTGGACCGAGCGTGGCGGGGAGGGGGCCGCGCCTCCAGCAGCTCCAGGTGACCGAGCTTCAGGACGCGAGATGAACGCGTCCGTCATCGCGCCCCAGGTGAACAGGATGGTACTGTGCGCTTCGGGTGGGTGCAGAGGGTCGGTCTCAGGTTACCTGTTCCCACCACAATTTGAAGGGCACAGGGAACCATACTGGGTGCTGCGAGGAGAAGAAAGGACAATGGATTCCAGCCAGAGAAAGCCGGCTCCCGTGTTGGGGTTCCTAACCCAGAGGAGACGCAGCTTCCCCTGGGTTCAAAGCCCCCCCACCCCCAGCTCGACTCCCCTGCCTCATGCCACGGCTAACGGTGTCCCCGGCCTCCACGCGTCTTTTTCAGGCTGCTTGGGAGTGGAAAGTGGGTCGTCAGCACCGGGGTCTCCTACCCCACTGGGGCCTGGACCTGCTTGGCCGAGCTGAATCAGGTCCCAGGGTCCAGTGTGGATGTACCCTGGGAAGAGTCCCCAGAAAGGAACAAAGAAAAAAAATCAGGGAAGCTCCCCGCTCCCCCGTGGAGGCTGAGCCTCACCTCACCTCTGTGGTCTCGGGTTTTCCCCAGGCAAAGCCACCAAGAACGTTCAGTGGGACGAAGACTCCGTGGAGTACATGCCAGCCAACCCCGTCAGGATCGCCTACGTCCTGGTGGTCCACGGCCGAGCCTCCCGGCAGCTGCAGCGCATGTTCAAGGCCATCTACCACAAGGACCACTTCTACTACATCCACGTGGATAAGGTGAGGAGCCGCTTCCCCCTCCCGCCGTGCTGCTGGGCTGCCTCTGCAGCCTGTCTGTCCCTCTCTGATCGCTCCTCTCACAAGTCCTGGCTAAGGCGCAGAGGCTGACCAGCATGTGGTTTCAGAGTTACCAGCTAAGGCTTCTGACTTTCTCCATAAACATTGTTTCTTTCTTTCTTTCTTTTTTGTTTATTTTTATTTTGGCAGTGGGCACCAGGGATTGAACTCGGGGGCGCTGAACCACCGAGCCCCATCCCCAGCCCGGTTTTGTAATTTTACTTAGAGACAGGGTCTCACTGAGTGGCTGAGCGCCTCGCTGTTGCTGAGGCTGGCTTTGAGCTCGCGATCCTCCTGCCTCAGCCTCCCGAGCTGCTGGGATGACAGACGTGCGCCCCCACCCAGCTATTTTTTACTCTTGATTGACACATGATGATTACACAGATTGATGGGGTGCCGTATGACATGCCAACATATGCATACGTGCCGCACCCAGCCTGTTCCGAGAAATGACGTATCTGTTGCCTGAAATGCCTGTCATTTCTCTGGGGTGGTGACATCATCAGGGTCTTCTGTTTTTGATAGTTTTTCCTTGTCAGTGGACCTTTATTTTATTTATTTATATGTGATGCTGAGAATTGAGCCCAGGGCCTCACAGATGCCAGACAGGGGCTCTACCCCGGAGCCCCAGCCTAGCCCCGTCTCTTCTACTAGTTTTTTTGAAATGGATGCTGGGTCGCCTCCTCCTCCAGGTCAGCTCTGTGGTCCTCCTACCTCTTCTCCTGCCCAGCGCCTCCCCCTGCCTCGCAGACCTGGTAGCCAGAGTGGGCCCACCTTTTCTAGAAAAGTCCAGGTCATAAATGATTCCGGCTTCATGACCCACACGCTCTGTGCCTCAGCCGCCCAGCTCTGCCCTGGTGGCGGGAAAGCAGCCACAGAAAACATGTGGACAAATGGGCGTGGCCGTGTGCCGATAAAGCTTTATTGACAAAGCCGGTGGGCCACGTGCTCACTGGGAGCTCTCCTGGCCCGGGAGTTTCCATTGGCGGCAGATGAGGCCAGATGGCAAAGGGGCGGTCTCATGGCCAAGATCTGCTCCTAGCAGAGCAGGGAGAGGGTGAGGGAGGGCCACAGTGGGCAGGACGCGTGCAGAGTCCATACAAGTCACAAGTACCAATGCAGAGCCCCAGACCCTGCCAGCCCAGGGCTCGAGGCCAAATTTCCAGTGAATAGAAGGGCAGAGAGGTGCAGGGAGACCCCGGCCGGGATCGGTGGCTTGGCCGAGTCTCCTGCATCCAGACATCAGGGGCCAGGGGGGAGGAGCAGAGCGGGCCTGGGCGGGGGGTGTCCAGCCTGCCTGGCGTCGGGCCCTTTCCGGGCAGCTGAATGTCACCTTTCTCTCCTGGGCCAAGCGCTCTAACTACCTGCACCGGCAAGTGCTGCAGTTCGCCGGGCAGTACGGCAACGTCCGCGTCACCCCCTGGAGGATGGCCACCATCTGGGGCGGAGCCAGCCTCCTGGCCACCTACCTGCAGAGCATGCGGGACCTGCTGGAGATGACCGACTGGCCCTGGGACTTCTTCATCAACCTCAGCGCGGCCGACTACCCCATCAGGTAAGGCGGCCGGTGGCCCCGGGGCCAGCCTGGTCTGGTGTCCTGCTTCCTCTTTCTCCCCCTCTCCCCAGGACACCGGGAAGCACGGGCAGTCTGCTTCCTGTCCAGGGAGACACGCCATGGGCCTCCCGCGCTCTCCCTGAGGTCCCCACCCTGGGTGCAGGCTGGACCTGAGGGCCCCGGGCACTTCTTCCCTCACTGGGACCAGAGAGAAGTTCTGAGCCCACGGTCCTCCCAGCTCTGTCCCAGGCTGAAGACACAGAGACCCCTGCCCGTGGGGCCTTCCACTCCAGCCAAGACCAACCAAAGAAGTCCACCGTAGGTAGGATGACCCCACGCTGTGGTCACAGTTTGTTGGAAAGATGAAGCAGAGAACAGAGGCAGGGGCGGGCGGGATTGCGATGGAGCAGCCAGGGTTGTCCCCAAGTGAGAAGGAGTGAGTCCCGCCGACGGGGAGAATGGCCCAGGTGACGGGCGGGGAGGGCTGAGCCCTGGGGTGGGACATGTGGTCAGAGACACTGGGGCTCCATCATGGAGGGTCTGGAAATCGTGCTCAGTCCAAGCAAGATGGACGCCACCGTGAGCTTGGGGCAGAGCAAGGACAAGGTCAGACTTTGTGTTGAGCTCCAAGGGGGGGGGGGAGGGGAGAAGGCGTCGCTGCGGGGTCCGCGCAGCACCACAGATGGTGGGTGTCCTTGGGCTGCCTGAGGCCCACGGGTGGGTCCGTGGGGCCCCCACCGAATTTTCACAGATGAGCTGACGGCCCCCACTGGCAGCGCCCACCTGAAAGGACAGGTTCTGGCATCTCTGGAAGCGCTGCGCCCGCCACCCTCGGCTGGCACAGTTACCTGGAGCTGGAGGTGCAGCCAGCAGCCCCAAGGTGCCGGCAGGAGGGCTGTCCCTTTGTGCGTGTGGTGTTTAAAGGACACCATCAGCCAAGAAAACCTCCCTAGAGATGGAGCAAGGAAACAGAGAAGCAAGACAATGAACTGCGCTTGCAATCAAGAAGGCGGCTCCCGGGCAGGCGCCGTGGAACACCTGTCAGCCCAGCGGATCGGGAGGCTGAGGCAGGAGGATCGCGGGTTCAGAGCCAGCCTCAGCAACAGCGAGGCTCTGAGCAACTCAGTGAGACCCTGTCTCTAAATAAAATACACAATAGGGCTGGGGATGGGGCTCAGTGGTGGGTGCCCCTGAGCTGAATCTCCTGTACCCCCCCACACACACACACACAAAGAAGAAAGCGGCTCTTTTCCTTGCGTGTTCTTGTTGACCAGGTCACACAGGAAATGGATTGGGGGTGAAGGGGGCCTCCCTGCAGCCCATGGCAACAGGGCACTGGATTCTGCCTTCCCTGGAGAATTGGGCAAAGGTGTCTAAGGAGAAACTTCATCAGGACAATTTTCAAACACACACGAGAGTAACGTAAGCAGCACCCCGTGAGCCTCACCCAGTTTCGGCGACCATCTGTCACGGCCAGCTGCTGGCCCAGGACTCTCGCCCTCCTGGCCCAGCCCTGGGTTGCTGTTGAGTGAATCCAAGCCATCGATTGTACATCGGCGTCTGTGAATGTTTCACACACGCGTCACAGATAGGACTGTCTTTGAACACGACGTCAATAGGACGCTCCCACCTGAAATGGTGGAGTCAGGATCCAGACGAGGAACAGGTATGAGGAAGACCTCGCTGCAGAGGTCACAGCGTGGTCCGCGGCTCCCTTCTCCGTACCTGGGCTCAGGGGCACCCATCATCTGCTGGGAGACTCCAGATGAGTGAGAGGGACGCACAATCTCTGGTCGTTTTGGACAAGATACACCTGTTTCCTTTTGTTCATAGACGAATAGGGATAAAGCATGGCTGACCCATGTCTACCTACCATGAACTTTCATTAATTCAACATTTATTGAGCAACTACTTCGCCAAGCACTGTTTGGGGATTTAGTGAACAGAAACAGCTTCTACTTCTCCCCGGCCTCGTGGAGTCCTAGTTAGGAAGGTGGAATCATGCGAGAGACACCAGCAGGATGAACTAGGGCCCTAGAGAAGAAGAGGCCTGAGTAGAGAAAAGCTGGAGGAGCATAATCAGGAGACCATAAAGACGTGGCCATGTTCAGCTTGAGCTGAGACCTGCAGAGGAACAGGGGCTGATTGACAGGGAAACAATAGACATCATTCAAGCCCAGAATTCCCCAGCCATGGCACTGTGGATGTTCGCTGATGGACAATTCTCTGTCGTGGGGCGGTCCTGTGCGCTGTAGGGTGTTTGGCAACATCTCTGGTCTCTGCCCACTAGATGCCAAGAGCACACCCTGCCCACTTGTGCAAACCACACATCTGCAGACATTGCTGAGTGCCCCCTGGGGCCCAAGTGGCCTCCAGCTGAGAGCCACCACTTCTGATGTGGGGGTCAGAGATGCGCTTACTGCATTTGAGAAATTTAAAACACAGGTGGAGCATCATACGTTAAGAGTGAGGAGACGGGTAGAGCGCACAGAGTGGAGGTTAGAACGTTCCTCTCCATCTTCTAGGAAAGGACTGAGTCCAGAAATGCCCCCCAATGCTTCACACAGCCCCTAGTGTGACCGGTCCTTCCTTCAGCCCTCACAGCAAACTCGTCCTACAGATGGACAGACGGAGGCCCAGGTCATGAGGTAAAATCATGGCACAGCAGGGATTAGAACCAGTTCTGTCTACGGCAACCTCGGTACTCTATCTGCTTGAAGTCAATCTCTTGGCAAAATCAGCAGCCTCATACTGGCTGGCTGGTCCCCAGCTGCATAGCAGACAGAAGGGACAGTCCAGGCCCTTGAGATAGCTCATGGCCGGGCAGGACAGTGGACACACTGCAGCAGGGGATGTCAGAGCAAGGTGGTGCAGGGTGACTGTTGTCTCTGAGGATGAGGAGCCAGGGTCAAGGTTCCCACACTCCTCCTTCTCCAGACTTTCACTGGAAGCCTCAGAGGTCATTGCAGCCTGGGACCCCGGGCCTCATTCTGCCCGAGACCTGTGGAGGCCCCGCAGGTGGTGTGCGCACTGCTGCCCCCTAGAGGCGCTGTGTATAGGTAGGTGTGCGCACTGCTGCCCCCTAGAGGCGCTGGGTTGTGTTGCTTGGAAGTCGGGCCGGTAACAGAGGCCGCTTCAACTCAAGGGGTGCCCAGCTCTGCTCAGCGTCCACGACAAAGCGTGCCAGACCCCACCCCAGGCCGCTCTGCAGCTTGCGCTGTGACCGTGAGCAAGAGAACCCCATCGAGATACCACCACAAAACACAGAGTGTCCGACCCTTGGAAGGTGCTCAGTGAACACCAACTGTTTACATCTAAGCTCCACCCAAAGTGGTGTCTCAGGTCAGTGGACGAGATACCAGAAACCCTTGGCCAGACCATGGGTCCTCCCTACCTCGGTCCACAGGGGACATTCCCCATGTTTACAACTTCTTTAGCTGGGCCTCGGTGGTCTGGCTGGCCCGGGCTGGCCCTCTCCCTGACCTCGCTGCCGTGCTGCCCACCGCCCGTTCCACTCTCCTGCCATTCTGCCCGCCAGCCTCAGGGCCAGAGGCGCCTCCTGCCCGCGGTGTGGCTGGTGCCTCTGGCCGCTGTTCTCCGGGAGCCGCCTGCACCAAAACATACGAAGTTTGCAGATGAATGGCTTTATCCTGGGCCACTCGGCCGGGTTTCCAGCCCCATCTGCCGCTCATCTGTGGCTTCCCCTCCACTCCTTCCCCCATCCCAGGAGGGAGAGCAAACTTGGGCACCTTCGGGAAGGGGTGGGCGTGCCCAGATCAGACCCCGAGGAGTTGGGGAGGGGGTCTCCAAGGGCAGAAGCAGCGAGGTGTCCACCCTGAGCGGCTCTGTGCTTGGACACCACCTTCCAGTGTCCCCCGCCCGGCCCTAACGGAGCGTCCAGCCTCTCTCTCGGGTGGCCCTAAGGGAGTGTCCAGCCTCTCCCTCTCGGGTGGTAGAGACCTGCGGGTCTACTGGTCCCTAGTCTCGGGTGGGCCTTGGACACAGAGAGCCTTGCTTCAGTCCCCTCTCCCACTCCATGTGACCTGACAGAAGTGGCTGCCGGTTCCTGCATCTCAGTTTCTCCACCTTAAAAGGAGCACGACTTTGTGCCGATCTCAAAAGACCATCTGGAGGGTAAATGGACTATGGCCCGTCCGGCGTCCCTGTGGCCGGATGTGGGGCAAGTGCTGGGTGAGCGCTGGCCGGTCCTCTGGCAGTGGGTCGTGGGGGCCCCAAGGTTGGACCTCGTCATCCCCGATATCAGTGGCTCCCCCTCTTCCCTCCACCAAGTTTAAACAGAGGTAAAATGGCTCTTGAACCCAGCTCCCGCTCCACGGTGGGAAAGGAGAGTGAGGCGGCCAGGACGGAAGGCCCCAGCGCCTCTGTGGTCAGGGAGGGTTTCCCGTATCTGGAAGGCTCACGGGAAGCGTGTTGGAAGACCCCCGGCCTCGCCGCCCTGCTGTGGACGCTGCCCGGCCCAGGGAGGCTCTGACTGGAGCTGGTCACGGACGGGAACGGATGTTTCCAAACTCCGGGTCCTGGCCCCAGCGCCTGAGGATTTTGCTCAGTGTGTCCTACTCACGGGGACAGGAGGGAATGAGGCCAGATGCACTTGGCCCTGTTGGTTGGTTTGGACCCGCACAGAGCATCATTAGCTCAGCCCCATGACGTCATGGGCAGGGTCGGGTGACGGGGTGCGCACGGGGTGGTGACTTCAGGAGCCAGGGCTGCCTCTGACTTCCCTCCGCTGACTGATCTCCTGCTCGGGGCTGAAGGTACCATTGCAAAGGAGGCGGGCGCTCCCAAGGGGACCGGGAGCCCTGAGCCCTGGAAGTGAGTCTCACCTGGCTGGGGTGTGGGCGGCCCCCCCAAGGAGCAGCGTGGGACCTGGGGTGCCAGGAAAGGTGTTCCCGGAGGAGCGGGTACCATGGGCAAAGGCCTGGGGGCAGTACGGGCCTTGGCATATTGGAGGATGTGGCTGCCTTCCTGCAGGTGAGACA